GACTTGACGAGCCATAAGTATTGACCAGAGAAGGATACCAAACATGAACCCATTATATTGGAAATGAATGTGATCCACGATTAAGAAACCGGGATGGAAAAATAAGGACGCTGACAAGATGCGCTGTATTCTTGGGTGCAAGCTTCCTGGGATGAAACTGTAGAGTATTTAGTTTCCTACATGATATCGCTTGCATGGGTACTCACGCTCGTAAAGCCAAGGCCATTACGAGTTCCGACACTATGACGGTGGAGCGCTGGTAAACAATCACAGACCAAGAGTCATAGTTCAAGTTGTCCAATTCGACCATTTTTGAGTCGATAAAGGATGCCGGGATAGATAGTAGGTACTCAAAATAGGCAAAGAACGGTGGATAGTCGAGAGCTTGTTTTCTATATCAGTTGTCTGATTCAACTTTCAATGAGAAATCTACTAACTCCATTCTGACGTTTTCTGGGAGAAATATAAGGTCAGATAGCATGAACCAAATAGCGAGGAGGGCCTACCTCGAAATACCACTTCGATACCGGCAGGCTATGAGTGATTGCCATCCAGTTTCTATGCACTTCAAAGTCGGTAGAACGGCTATAATGAGGTTCAGTATTTATAACATTCCAAGATGAAGATAATATTTACTATGCAGGAAAGAGTAATAATTTGAGAGCTGTCCCGACGATTAATAAATCCCATTCAAATCTTCTCGAGTCACGGGAAGCTTTAGATTCGAGCTCTTTGATTGTCGTAGGCTTTGACGGATCCTGTCCTTGAAGCGCTTCGAGCGGTGTTTTGGGTGGAATCGATGTCGTTTTCAGCCGCAACGCACCGGAAGGCATGACGGGCAGCGAAAGCCTTTTTGAGTGTTTAGGAGAGGACATGGTGATGCCTCAACGGGATTCCGTGATGGGTATACGTCGATGGGGAGAGTCAAGATTGGCCAGTGCTGGCAACTCCAATTCAGTCGCGTGTCACCAACTTGGATTCCTACGACCATGAGTGAACAGGTCGCTGCTGCAAAATTATCCAACCAAGTGGAACAAGGGTTCGCGGCAATATACTGCATCAATGAGTCACTAACTAGATTCATAGAGGCGTGTTAGCCAAACTTTTGGCGTTTAGCTTCCTCCTGGCTGTTGTGCCTATCAGTGCATATTTTGGCACCCAGTGGTATATAACGCCTGGTGAGCAAGTATATCCTAGCTAAAAAACCAGTTACTGACAAGTACACGTAGGAAACACGATCTATCCAGCGATAGCGGCTGTCTTGAGCGCCAACCTCATTCTTGTTGGCTATGTCATAGTCGCTGTCAGGGAGGATTCACAAGCTGCTAAGCTAACAGAGACGAAGAAAGACCAATGATTTAATGGTACTATAATCGTGTGTAGAGAGGCAGTTCCTATATTCCATAATGTAACAATACAGGTCCAGCGTAATAAGGATATAGAGTTACATCCCGAGAAAAGTGGAAGAAACCCAGACATTTTACACGTTGTCCATTATTGTTCAGTGAAAAAACATATCAAGGAATTCAGAGGGCGTAACCCCATTGAAGGTTAACGTCTGAAAAGGCAGGTCTGGAGGTTTCCTCTGGAGATGTCACATCGGAGGTGACCACAACTTGAACTTGATCACTCTTCCCAAAGATTCCATTAGGAGCATCTTTTGACATTTTGTTACTAGCCTCAACCAGAGATTTGGTGGCAAGGGCTGAGGAACTGTCTGGAAGGGTACCAGGTTTTGAACGAACCATATCCGGATTATCAAATAAAGTTTCACGTAGGCGCGATAGTTGCTCCTCTATGGCCGGTAGTGATGAACTAGAAACACTACGCTGGCCGGCGAGGACAACGCTTTGCCCCGATCGCACATTTGGGTTCGATTCTAGTAGGAATTTTGATTCTGTTGGTGAAACGCTTGTCGATCCAGCCGTCTGGTTGCCTTTAGGTATGATCAAGACCCTACGGCCGCCTGGCTGACGAGAAGAGGGGAGGATAGATTTGAAAATATAAGAATCACCCGTCACTCCATATTCCGCTTCCTTATCATCTCGTTCAGTACGAAATGTTCCCTTGTCGGTTGTAGGGCGAATAATGGGTATAGAAGGAGGGGAGGGGAAGAGACTGAGAGAGAACTGGGAAAATTGAGAGTCAGCGGATGTGGGGCGCAGATCGTCTTCTTTCGATATTGCTTTAGCTTTAGTCCGTTTCGGAGCAGGTGAAGAGGTGGGAACAGGTGAGGAGTCTAGTGAAACATCGGGGGAATATAAATATGGTAACGAAGATAGAGAATCCGATGATTTGGAGTTTTGAACATGAGACGGAGAATGGTGGATAGTCAATGTGTCAGAAGGAACTGTTAAAGAGTGAATCGAGCCGCCTTCGGCAGTGTTATTTGGTTGAATGGTATGGCTAATATCGCTTTGGCGGGTAACCAGGGGAGTGATTACGGGAAGGGCGGGGACGTCTTCTCTGGGAGTCGCCACAGGGGTAGACAAGTTGGTTGTCTCCCTCGGCCTTGCCTTGACGGGAGTATTACGTAAATCGGCGATATCTTCGTCGATTTCTTTTAAAAATCCTCCCCATATGTCATCTAAATGGGTTGTAGGAGGTTTCGCCTTTGGTCTATACGAACCTCCGCCACTGCGAGAGGAGGCACTACTTTCACTCCTCGCCCTAGATGAATTGCTCTCGCTTCTAGCTCGAGAGGAATGGCTCTCTCCACGAGGTCGATAGTATGATGTATGATGTGATGAGCCAGAAGCAGAAGAATGGGGCGTAAGCGGCGTTCTGAGCGATTTGCCGGACGGAGTCGGAGTCGGAGTGGAAGTGGAAGTGGAAGTGGCGCTGAGCGGCACAGCAGTCGTCGCCGATGTGTTCACAGGTACTATCCTGAGATTAGTGACACGGTTCTCTGGGATTGCGCCGTTTCCATTGCCTAATGACTTGGCGCGCCTTCGTTGTAGCAACACGCTCTCCGATACAGAGTTCTCAGACAACGGCCCTTTGAACGCCTCGACGGATGAGCTAGCCTTAGGAGGCTTCAATGTAGCCCGTTGAGTCGCAAATGAATCTTGAGCTGGTGATGACGGAAGAGCCCACAATGGTACAACAGGTTCGGGAGTGGCGAATCGTGCTGGGAGGAGGGGCACTGGAGGGGCGGAGAATGGAGGCTCCGGCGGATTGCTGGTAGATAGTGGACCTATAGGATCCTGTGGCAATTGTGGAGATGATTTACTGAAGATGAAACGGGTATAGACAGGAGAGCGGGGCTTCTGCTCGGGTAGGGCGTCTTCGTGAGGCGAGGGTGGAGCAGGAGATGGTCTACCAAAGGCCAATGAAAGACTCGGTCGTGATTTTGAACTGCTACTCTGGTTTGGAGTAAGTGGTACTGATTCGTACCCGCTGGTGCCGGTGCGGCCAGACGAAGAGCGCGACGAGAAGAAAGATCTAGTCGAAGGTGCTGGAGAAGGGGAAGGTCTCGTCGACGATTGCTGTTCGTTCTGGTCGTATTCACTGCTAGTTCTTGTATTCTTGACCATTATAGAGAGCTGTCTACCTTGCTCGCCGCGCTGTCGATTTTGTTGGCTCTTTTTGGAGCCATTGAGAAATGCAAAGGCCTTCATAATTATTCAGAGAAAATCTTGAGTATATCATCAGTATGAGCATTCACGGACGAGAGAGTCGCCGGCGTATCGGACTCAAGCAATTATGAGAAACTCACAAGTTATTGGGATGACTGTAGACCATGCAACGACCCTGTTCCGTGCTGTACTATCACGCAAGTATGTAGCGTACTGGACTGATTAGGGCTGCTTGGACGGTAGCGTAGCAGTCGGAAACAACCGCGGGTTCTTCGAGTGGCCAAACAAAACGAGCCTAGAATAACAGGATGGCGACAGACGACAAAGGAGGAAGTATTCTCGCTTGGAGGCAAGCTCCAACCTTCTTGTCGATTTATGTTGCTTTTGTGCGGGAGTTTCAAGTTTGCTGACTGGTGCCGGACGATTGCAGGTACCGCAGAGCTGGGCAGGGCATTTTACGGCGACAGCGGCTGGCGGCAGTGGACGGTGAGAACCAATGACGAGATTTCAGCATGATCACAATAAATATGAGGCATGCAAAAACTACAATTGTACCGAGAATAAGTCAACCCCTTCTGCTTACGGCCCAACAGGGCGCAACAATAAAATCCCATGTGTCAGGATTGATGTGCAACACGTACCTGTAAAGATGTCTCCAAACACGGTAGAGCCTGAATTAGGGACCCTATGTCCGTTCCAGTTACGCTGGAATGTCAAGGTTTAAGCGGCTGGTGGCCAATATCGAGTGGAGAGAGGACGGCATCGATGTGTCTACGAAGGCATCAAAGCGTTAGCATCGAATACAGGGAAGAGAACAAGAGTTTAAGAGTAGATCAGGACAGCGTTAGCGTATTATAGTCGCTGCCAGGGAAGTTTTCCTCACTGAAAACTCAGTCTGGTGCACAGCAAAAGCTCATCATGTATTTGGGATGAAAAAAGATGTATACATACCCATATCTATATCATCGAAAAGGTTGTGAGAGTTTTCAGCGACATTTTGGTCGACTCAAACCGTCGAATTGTGTATAGTCAGGTATAAACACTGACGAGCGTAAGGCTGCCGACCTTCTTGGACTACACCAAAATCATGTCCTTTTCCAACGACCCACTTTCGCCATTTCATGACCCTCATAGAGATGCTGCAGATTGGCCAGCGACACCCCATTCACCCACCAGCCCCCATCCAACTCTAGTCAAATCCACTGAGATTTCCAACTCGCCATTGCCCCCAACCTCAGCG